GTTAGCACCTTCGACTCAGGATAGTCCTTTCCATGCAATATTTCAACATTTTAACCAGTTTGCTCAGGACCAGAGTTATACAATTTAATCCAGTTCGAAGCCAGTTTAATGACATAAAATCCGAGTCAAAGGCATATATAATCCAACAATAAACTCACCCTGAAGTTATGTCCGTTTTTGCTCAGACAGGTTTAACGACTTGTCTAAAGCTGCGGTTTAAAACATAATATGAAACCCTATAACCTTCAAAAGTCTGACCATGTAATTTTGTATCTCGCTCTACAATTTGAGTTGGACAGACAGTTTATATGCATAATCAAACATCTATGCAAAATATCCAGAATACAGGACCATACACATAATATCTAGTCATTCAATATAAGGAAAGGAGACAGGAATATTACTTAGCCCAGATGGAATGATTCAAACTTTTCTTATGTTTTGGGAATAATTGGTATTCATATCATAACTTTTCCTCGCAATGTTAAGATTCAGAAGTTCATAATCTGGGTATGTTTCCAGGTTTTCATTTTTATTTGCAGGGTCGATTTAATTTTATTTCAGTGGTAATTAATTGTTTGATGTACAAATAACAATACTTATACAACAATTCCTAGTAATTGATTTGTTTTACCACTATTATTTGTTAATGCTGTTGTTCTCTTCCATGCCCTCTAGTCAGCGAAACTTAATTTGCTAACTTTCCATGCCTTGGCACATAATTTTAAATAGAGACAACCATGACATTGATCCCTTGTATTTCACTTTAGTGTTTGCCTTTATTGTTTCCTTTTTCCATATATTCCATCCAATAAAATCCCTAGAGGTTTATAAAAAAGAAAAAAAAAATCTCTATTTCAATATACAGAAAAAGAAAAGATTGCATATAGGAAATTGGTTTCTACGTTTCCTTTGACAGCAAGATTGCTTTGCGTTTTTTCCTCCAAAGACTACTTATAACATCATAAACCAACTATTCCCATAAGCAAAAGCTAAAAGGTAAAGATACATGAATGACTTTACATTAGACCTTTAAAGACACATGAATGCTTTTATATTAGATCTCTAACACAAGCGCTCTTGCAAGAGCCTGTTGAGCTTTAAACCACAGATAATGCACCTACCTTTTACTGAAATGTAACTTATAAGAAAAATAGGGTTGAACACTTAAGAACTTTGACACCATATTGAACCAACCCTCTCAAAAGCTTAAGCTACTGAGTGAAGACTGCTTAATGGATTTCAATTACATCTCTAACTACATTGTAAAATTCTAAAGTTATGAGTGTGGCTTGCCAAATCAGTGGTGAACTCATGCATGCTAATCAAAGTTATGTTAACTTAAGATATGTAGTTACCTTGCATCCTATACTTCACTATTGCTGACTAAAATTGATTGAGATTTGCAAAATAATATGAATCTAATCCTTATTTAATGGGTTTAACTAATAGTTTTATAGTTTTCAATAAATATTAACCAATTATAGAGGGTGTGTTGGAAAAAAGTATTTCTAAATCACATTCTCTTACGTGTTACTATATTCAGACTCAAACAAAGGGTAATGGTCCCTTGACAGCCCAAGCTTACCATTTTGTAATTGCAAGTTTAATTTCTAACTTCAGCAGTCAATAATGATTCTTTCCTTTTGCGCTCCATTTGGAATCAAGTGAATGGATTATGGTCATAATAACATCCATGATTTACTTCAAATCTGAAGACCACTAATTGCCTAGTCTCTTTATTACCAAATGATGTACATATTGACTTCTTAAACTAGTTCTCGTTCATTGCCCAACAATTTCGCATCTTTGGAAATCTTTGGTGTTCTTGGTAAAGATCAAATTTGCCCAAGAACATCCAACAATTCCAAGGTGAAAATATTTTGGCACAACGTTCAATTTGAAGTTATTTGGTGTATGAATGATTAGAAACATGATAGAATCTTTATTATTGGTCCTCCGTTACATCTTGATTCATTTGGAATCAAGCAGTTCAATTGTTTTTTCTTAAATGCTCTGCAAATATTTTTTCTCAAGGGGCATCTTTTTCAGACATTCCAAGAGATTAGCTTTCTCCGTAGCATGTTTCACAAGTTTAGACCTACATATTTGAACCTCCTAAAAGCTTAACCTACTAAAAAAATTGATTGTGATGATAGACAGGATAAGAGGAAAGCAAGAGTAAGAAATGATGAGTATTAGCTCTTATTTTGTCTTGTGTTTGTTGTGTTTGGTGCACACAAGATAAGCTACCAGATAATATAAAATATATGTAAATAGACAAAGTTACTCTAACGAAAAAGGGTAGTGGTGATAAGATATTGGTTGCAATTATATAAATGTTTTCTGAGACAACAATTGCAGCAATGGTTGTACTGATAATGATGCATTTACAATAATGGTGGTGACAGTGATATAAAGATTATTGTGACAATACTGAAGGTACAGCAGCAATAACGATGTTGATAACAGTGGTGCCATTGACAATGAAAACAGTGATAACGGTGATGATAATAGTTGCACCAATGACAACACTTATTGTAGTGACAATTATGGTGGCAATACTATGATGATGTACAATTATGGTGGCAATACTATGATGATGTTAGTAGTGATAGAAGTGTTTGTAATGCAACTTATTGTGATAACGATGGTGGTTGTTGAAATGGTGTTGAAATTGATGGTAGTGATCACTTTATTTGCAAACAATGACGGGCATGGATGGTAATTGCATTGGCAGTATCATTCATCGCAATGGTGATTATAGCAGTGTTGATAGAAGCTGTGGCGACGATTGTGGTAGTGATTGTGGAATAAAGAACCTGAGCAACTATGAGGTATGAAAGGAAGAAAACTTTATTAAATCCTACATGTTCTCAACCAAACTTCCCGTTAGGTTAACTTTTGAACTAATGAACTTCATAGAATCCGCAACAAAGATCAGCTTACCATATTGACGCACCAAACAAATTGAAGATATGATCATTTATCTCATTCTATCCTTTTCATCCAACCATTAAACAAGCACTTCGTGAATGCCCTATCCTTGGTTCTAAATCTACCATATCCCTTCTCATAAGAACCCATTGGACTTTAGATGTGGACAATGCACAATCTATCATACCTTTTTTTAAAAATTTAATAAGCAAACCCATGACTACTAGACCAATGAAGCTCTAATATCATGTCAAAGAAAAAATCTAATAAAAGCCTAAGCAATTAAGTGAAGGGTCATCAATACTTTACCAGAAGTAAATAGTTGTTTCGGATTGGTTGGTATATGCAACCTTTCCGAGATTATAAGAATTGAAATAATGAAACCAAGTGAAATTCCAAACTTTGAGCTTCAACAAATACAAACAGCTCAATATTGTAAATGCTTGCGTGTATTCAATCATTGGAACATAAAAATTACGCTTGAAGTTTCTCGTCTTTGCTCTACCCATTCATGTCCAATGTTTCCATTTCTAAAATTGTGATTTGAATTGCCTTTGGTAATGTACAAGATGAATTATACATCTCAGTTCAAGTTAGATCTTTGGTTCTGAACCAATTCTTTAAAGAATGCATATCCTTAAGGTCTCTTGATAATAAACTGCACGACCATAATACTTAATTTGAAAATATAGATAAATTTACAGGTATAGTTTTCTAAAAGAAAAAAAAACGATATAGAAGTTTGTTAGCATTCTGGCCTTTCCGGCTAATGGATGGGACTTGGGAGGAACTTGTCGTTTTCCATAGTGCATTCCAGCCAGTCCTTCTAGTTTCTTACTCATTCACAATGCAGGAATATTTTCCTTCTTGATAATATATTGTTAGAGATGTATGATTCATGCACAAGTTCCGGTTGTACCCAAAGTTCGGATTTTAATTTGGACAGCAATACACAGTTCACTCAAATGAAGCCTGTTTTGCTATACTGTCAGAAAACTGACAAACACTACATAAAATATACAAAAGAAATAGTGAATTTTCATATTCTAATGGCTTAAGGAGAATAAACATCCATAATCACAACCAAAAGCCCTATTCTCCTGCAGTTAAAAGCAAAAAATTGGAGCTTTTGCAGGAAGCAGAAATAGAAGCAAAAGCTAACTACAATGTTTTCTTTATAATGATTCTTCCAAAAGAACTTCGAGCAGACGTTCTTGAGATTTTTGTCTTTAACTATAAACCTTAACAATGATGCAAGCATATATATTGAATGACCTGTTCCATGTTCAATGGCTTCACGGAGCCTTTCTTGCGGCAGTGTATATGTACCATGTATTATTCTGGCTCCAAAACTATTTAATAGTACATTTACACTCACCATTGACAACATGTGTATGCATTAAGCTGTGCTATTTGGTGAATATCACATTTTCCCTTTAAGAGCAGATTTCTCATTGCGTTTTTTATAATTTTTGTGGGAAAGAACAAAGCCTCATGGAAATGCATTAGGTATGCACTTATTCTTGTATTTGATTGACGTTAAACCTGATTTTCAAGCTGAAGTTTAACCTACGATCTACAATAGGAAATTTGTATGGCATTTTCTTTTGTTTATCTCCGGTTTTTTTGGATATCTTCTGAGGTTTCTTCAGTGTAGTTTTGTTTTATTTTCCATGTGCTAGTGTCAACAATAAAATATAGTTTCTCCTCCTCTGAATCTTCCTATATATTAATCAATCAATAAAAAAAAAGTATGATAAAGGATATTTTACAGGTATATCCCAAACAAATGCAAGTACATACAAATCTGAACCTTCATTATTACAAAAAAGCAATAAATTGCAGTTCAGCTCTATGAACAGAAGTGAGAAAGAGTATGGTACTTGTTTATGTTATCACTACTGTAATCCATATGAACATAAAATCATAAAAAAAAAAATACACCATAAAAACAGTGAATACTTGGTAAGTGAAGTTGTAACAGAAATTTCAAAATAATCATAGATTTGGTTAAAAATATCTCCCAAGGCTCCACCCTATGATAAATAAAACACAACAGTAACAAGAACTAAAATTTACTGAACAATAAAAGCATCAAGTAGCCTATGCATGGCAGAAAAGCCAGAACTATTCAAAAATGAAGGGTTTACATTATGTAGCAACTTATATATACATACAAAGAAGCAAAAACACTGACCAAACTCAACCAATATGATGGAGCCCACTGCGTATCTTACCATTTTCCTACTTTATGAGACATGCTAATCAGTTTGCCAACTAAATTAATCAAGATATAACACTTCTTAGGATTTTTTGTTTCCATTCCCTTTAATATAAAATTTGGCCAATATTTTTCCAGGTTTTAATTGGCAGAGATCATCATAAAAAGTACACAATGCAAATCTAATTTTACCCAGACAACTACATATTTTATGTTGGATAATGAGCTATGATTCAAATACATAAACAATGAACAGATAGTACCACCTCTTGCTGCAGATTTTCAAAGTGAGATTAACGAAATACAAAAGATGAAACTCACATATAATCACATACTATAAATAACATTTAATGTAAATGTCAAACAATTTAAACTGTAGCATCATCGAATGCATAACAAGCAAAGAATGTTTATAAACATCTGTAAGTATTTATTAATTAGGCTATACCCTTTCAGCAAAGTTCAATCTATGCTATATATGGTTAAGCCCATAGAGGCTAAGATTTGGCGTTTGGTTTCAATGTTGTTTAAAGCATACGTCTCTTTAAGGGAATTTCTCTAACATTTATGCAAGGGGTTGAGTAGATTTGTTCTGTTTAAGTTCTCCTTTTTCTTTTTGTATTTTTCTTAATTGCTTGTATTTTGCTTTTGCATTAACAATGACCCATTATTCTCCATATCTCAGCAATTAACTACCTTCTGTTTGTCTTCATAATTAAACTAAATGAAACCGTGAATCAACAATGCCACTTCAGTGTCCTCAATATCACTAGACCCCAACAGATACGTCATTCCAAATTCCAACCCACCAGTGGAAAAGAATGACATGATAAGCATAGGATTTAAGCTGTTAACAAATAATACACAAATAACCAACCCAAACGAGGTATTGAAGTGTCATAAATTATATTACAGCACGGGTGGCTATTGAAATGAGTAACAATTTATGGTCACATTACTAGTTCTTAGTCAAATATTACTTACCACTATACAGAGGCATTGAGTTCTTGCTCAAAAAAAATATTCTGTTTTTAATATTTTTCCGGTAATATCTTAAAGTATAGTGAAAATAAATGGGGCTCATACTTGAAGATGCTGATAGTAGTTTTTAATATGACCTCAGTTAAATGGAGAAGTATGTTCTACCCATCGTTTCATGAGTTTTGTATACTTTTGATGTGAAATCATTGGGCGTGCAAAATCTCATCAAATTTGAACAATACCAGTGGCAAACATGAAACATTTCTTGCCAATTGGGAAATATGGAAAACCAATGCAGGGGCTTATGAAGAAGTATCAAGCAGTTGAGTTAGTGATGCATGGATCCATTAGGAAGTAGTTGGTTGAGTAGGGTTATCATTTTCTAGCCAGTTCTGACTGAATTATTAACTGAAATTAAAAGCAGTAACTTACGACCATACTCATCTTAACAGTGAGGTGAATATTCTGGAACACCTTAATTTGTTGGATTGAACCATATGAATTATAATACAAAGGAAGCGATAACTGATGTGTTGTATTCCGTAATTTTATTTTATTTTTTGTGCAAATTTTGTTGATTTATTTCTAAGCCAATATTATGGTCTTGTGATTAAATGAATTGAACTTCAGTGATAGATTCATATAATGAACTGGAAAAGTAACAAGCAGTAAAAGGTGGGCAACACTGACCGCCTTTGCAAACTCGATTCTAAGTGGATTGCCAGCAAGAGTAAAACCTTGCAGTGCCCTCATGGCATCAATAGCATCTTCATCCCTTCTAAAATTAACAAAAGCATAGCTGCGGCCAGACTGGAATGCAACATTCTCCAGTGGTCCAAATCGCAAGAAAGGGTGAGCAAGTTCTTCTTCTACAATACTGTGGGATAGATTCCCAACCCAGAGATGCCTGGAAGGAGGGTTGTTGCTGCGGTTATCACGTCCACTGACCCCATTCCCCTTGCTATCTTCATACCTTGAAGGGTGATCCCTCCTAAACCGGTCCCTTCCTCCTCCACGATCCAACTATTGCCAAACACAATACAAATGATAGATACAGTAAATTCCACCATTCCTTATCTCTCACAAAACTAACACAGCTTAACCAAAAACACGAATCTACATGCACACAAAGAATCAAGAAATCAAAAACCCACTTAATTAATCTTGCCACTTAATTAAGCACAACACTTTATTTAGCCTCGAAGTCTAACTGCCAACACCAACCTCCAATACCCTCTTACGTACAAATCAACAAAATGTCTTCGCACGGTTACGCCGTGCAATAAGAAAATTAAAGGAATGACGGAATACAACCCTGTCTTGATACTTTGCACTTAAAAGTTTCAACATTGAACTACTATATGTGTTTATTATTTTAAGTTTATAATGATATATGTGTTGAGTACACATGGTATCAAGAATAAAACCAACCTATATGTTTGTGTCCATCAATCACTTCATAGCACCAAAAGTATTAGCATACTAAATATTTTATTCATTAGGAGGGAAGGATAAAAATACAACATGTTTTCTTATCCTATGCTGCATCAGAATGCTTTCTTTTAATTATTCACTGAAAAACGAAAAACATTCATAAAATCAGGATCAGGAGCATGTAAGATTCAGCCAATATTAATTCTTAATATATTTCTTAGCATGAGAATTCACCAAGGGACAGGGAAAGTGCTTTGTTTTCATTTTGTCTTAATAGGGACATAATGAATAGAGAAACACAGATAAGTGCTTCGTTTTCAAATTCGATTTCCAAGGGACAGGGAAAGTGCTTTGTTTTCAAATTCGATTTCCAAGTAAATAAAAAAATGGTGCCTTTTGTCATTTCACTCCAGTTAAAATGTATGTAAACATTCAATATTTTCTTCATCGCATCTTAGATTATTTATTAAGGTTTCATCGTATAACTCTCAGATTATTTCGCCCTCTCAACATGGTATAAAGGGCATAATCCTCAGTTACCTATCCCGATACTACTCAGCAGCCAAGCTCTCTAATATTCAAAGTTCTACTTCGTTTTCATTATTATCCATTCAAAATTCAAACTAGTCATATAGTTTTCCAGTGGTGATAGTGGCATATCGAAGTACCCAGCCACCAATCTGTAAAAGGCTGCATCTGACAAGTAACTCAGAACCTACTTTAGTCAGTTCCCAGTATAGATGACGAGATGGGCTTAGCCTAAGTCATATTGGTTTTGGCTAATATGCTGATGCACTTACTCTCTAAGAAATAGGGTAAACCATCAGGTTGAGGCTCAACTCCAACTCCAAGGAAATAGTCCAACAGGTTTCCCCCAACTCCTTAGAGAGAACTCTGAATAGAGAACACTGAAGTAGTACAAACTCATTTCATCGCTTCTTCTCTTCTTCAGCAATTGATTTACAAACCCAATTCAGTATTCTCTCCAAAGGCCATTTGTTGACTTAGACTACTTCCTACGCCGTGTACTATTTTTTTTTTAATTTCAAGCTTCATAACAGAATCACCAATGGACTTCAAGCAAGTAGAAATGAGTTTGATTCGAAGAAGAAAGTGAGACTTTCTGGTACCTTTTTTGACATTGTGCAGTTCGGTTCTGAGTATACAAGCCCTTGCCTTTGTGAGTGTTGAAATGATCATAGATCACATTCCATAATTGGAATGAGTGAGAATAGCCAACAACACATATCAAGATCGACAGAGTATAACCTTTGGAGTCAGATTAACAGAAGTTGATCGTGAAGCTCCCAGGGTACAGGGTTCTCGAACCCTAGATGCCGATCTTCACAGGAAACAAACTGCTGCAGGAATTTCTGGCTGAATCAGAAATCGATAAGCCGATGGGCCTTTAAAATACGCCACTCTTATTTTCACACCAAAAATTGGGATTTATTCTTTCTGCACCGTACTATTCTCATCTGCACCCCCAAATGTGAAATGACTAAATTGTCTCAAGTATTTTTAAATGTCACTGTGTCCCTGAAACAAATCTATACAGAACATTACAGAACAAAATTAGTCCTTTTTTATAAACACGGTTATAAGGTTCATGTGGAATCAGCGTCCCAGAAAAAAATTAGAACCACACATTTACTTCCGGTAATATCCTCAGTTTTCTCCTTCTTTTTTATCTACTATTATAAATAACATCATATTATTTGAGAATATATTTTGTATTTTCTATATATAAATACGAAGATTCACTAAATAATTATGCTAGTTTTTTGCTTTCAGAAAATATTTACACAATGGAGAACCATGTTTTATTTACCACTAGCACGACATCCGGGCCTTTGCATGGGTAATTTTGTTTATTTTATATTTATAATATATATATATATATATAATAATTTAATTGATATTTTATGAAATTAAGTATTACTAATATGCCTAAGTAACAAAAAATGAATGTTAAATAAGTTATGGTTATATGTTGATTTAATAATAATGGTAATATTTATTATGAAAGATTAATGTTAGTGTTAAAAGAAAGTTATATGAAGTATCTTATATTACCTTTAATAAGAATTTTATCTACAATTAATTATTTGGTTTTGTTATATTTTTTTTTTAACAAAGTCATGTTTTTATCTTATGTTGATTATAAGTAAACATTTTTAAATATATATATATATATATATATATATATATATATATAAATTGTTTCAAAAATAAAATAATGATAAAGTTGTACTATATCTAGGTAAAAAACTAATTTGAAAATTGGATTAAATATGTTTTTGGTCCCTTAACTTTCAGCGAAAATTGGAATTAGTCTCTCTTCAAAACTTTGGACTAATTTAGTCCCCAAACTTTAGAAATGTGTGAATTTAGTTCTTTTAACCAAATTTTGTTAACTTTATTTGATGTTTCAAACGCATCTCTTAGTGAACATTGAAGCAAAAATGTGTCAAACGGTGTAAACAACTCAAATGCTATAATGAAACGCACTTGAAACATCAAATAAACTTAACAAAATTTAGTTTAAAGAACTAAATTCACACATTTCGAAAGTTTAGGGACTAAATTAAGCCAAAGTTTTGAAGAGGGACTAATTCCAATTTTTGCTGAAAGTTAAAGGACCAAAAACATATTTAACGCTTGTAAGTTTATATATACATTAGTATAAATATGAATATAATGTAATAATTAGTAAGAATATTTTTGAGTAAAATTGATGTTATTAATTGTTTAAAAGATATTCTTCATTCATGAAATATATTAAACATATACACAAACAAATAAGGAACTCAAAATAATATGCAAATACATTATAAATCGTAACCCTATACAATATTAGAGCAACATGAGTAAACTATAAACCATGTAACTTCTGCACAAAATAACAAATGCATTGCCTGATAGGAGTTCAGTAAAACATCCTATGGTGGAAATTTTGAATCAAATTCTTATTTCAAAAGTAAACACGTGAATTCATTTCTGATCACAACGCATAAATCTATTAATAGAAAATATAAATAAATAAAGTGCAGATATGTTATGAAATATAACTTCATACAAAAATTTTAAACATGAAGTTGGATGTATAGAAAAATATTAGCATATGGAATCATACAAGATTTGTGTATTAAAACAAAGATTAAGACAGAGATAATGTTTCTAGTAGCATTAGAACATGTATTCACGAAAACATACTATAATTGATTACCTCGATTCAGTGCTTTTCAATTATAAAATTTAACATATGTATATGAAAGATGAGTTTGTTGATATTATTTTATTTTATTTTATTTAGTTGACAATATAATAAATTTGGATACAGAAATAAAAATGATAGTAAGAAGGATATAAAAGCATGAACATCCAAAATTTGTTTTGTTGGATAATAATAAAATACAACTTACTTTTCTTTTATTGAACAACGATATAATCTACTAAAATTGGATCACTTAAAAACTACGCATTTGAATAAACATATTATAGATTGTAATACATAAACATTTCAATTACAATTCAAATAAAACCCAGAACCTCAAGTTTTAAAATTGAATTTTAATTTATGCTTTATACAAATTATGACAGTTAAAAAAATATAATTTTATTAAAATTACACAGACTAATTCACCTATATAAATACTTTTTTATATATTATATAAGTATTAATTTCCACACTCTAATAGATAATATAATTTGACTTGTTATTATAACTATAATTAGAAATATAAATACATAGAACATAATATATTAAATAAAAAAGTATACATTTACTAAATAACACAGGAGAGTACAAATACAGCTATAGCAGAAAAATGGTTAACTCTGCCAACTTTCCATAACAGCAGTTCCTAATGGGGTGAGGTAAAGATAATGTAAGCGTCTGAATAACAGAAATGTGGTGAGATCCTATTAATGTCATCCTCACCACCAACTGCGATGGTAGCGTTCGTCTGGCCTGTCCTTAAATCGAGAAGAAAGATCACGGTCCCTGTCATATATGCTTTCATAGGTCGAGTTCCATGGTCTACCAAAATCTCTTTCTGAAGGAGAATAATGAAGAGAATGGAAAGAAAAAGGCCTTGGGGGTTCTTCATCATGTAAAGGACTTCTATTCCAGTCAGATTGGGATCTTGACGATGAAGGACTTCTTGTACCCTCATGGCCACTAAACCTAGGATGAAAACTAAACTTGGATGAACTATGACCTGGGTCCCCTGGTGGACCATCATCAGTAAGATCCCCACCCAATCTATTCTCCCGATGATGTCCTCGGCTACCATAATCAGAACTATAATTCGATCTGTGTGGTGCCAACAGGTTTCTTGAAATATCTGAACTTGAGGGTTCATTCCCAGAGCCCCATAATCTCAAATCAGCATTATCTGGAATGGGAGCATTTATTCCTGGAAATTTGACAGTCATTCTCCGCTTTGGTTTTGAAGAATCAGATTCAACTTCCATAATTTCCCCATCCTCCTGATCCGCAATCTCCCTGTCGGTGTATATCATAATGCCTGAAGGCTGATCCTCTTTGTCCACATCTAAATTAAAATAAAGGTTATAAAGTTAATTTAATACATCAACTCAGGCAAGATGATAAGGATTCAGTACAGTAAATAGCAACAGAAAGTGATTAAAATAAACTATTGAAAATAACAGAACTAATTCATTAGGCTGGTGAACAACCTCAGCAAATTTCTCAAACCTGTCAAGTAACTTATGCTTGTAGCATTAAATTTAAACTTAAATTCGACGCATATACACCATTAGAACACACAATGATAATTTGGGTGGATCAGAGGCAGAGTATGAGGAAGAAAACAAGAAATTGAGATGAAAAAGAAAAATGCTTTTTACCAAGATATCCAGGTGGGTATCCTATTTCTCGCATTCTGTTAAGCCATGGAGGTGGATCAAGCTCCTGCATAAGACAATCTTAGTATTAATACATTTCATAAAGGCAGACTGACAATTCTGACACATTAAAAAATCCCTATAATGTATGGCTTTCTTATACTCCAGCGTTAGTGTCAAAGGCTTGCAATCTTCAAACTACCTACCACTATACAGCCCACTTATGTCATCGTGCTACTTCTTAGGTTATAAGAATTTGTGTTATAAACCGGTTGAACATGCAGATTGTGATAGGACCCTAAGAGTATATATTAGGAGAAACAGAAAAACAGAACAATAGCTGTCAGTTGTTTGTTGTTAGACAGTGGGTGGTTGGGATAGAAGTTGTGTATATAAGAGAGGAGAAGGGTCTTAGAGAGGGGAGTTTTTTGGTTGTAATCTTTGTAAGACAGGAGCCTTACATCCTGTGAAGGGAGGTCTGTCCCTGGGAAGTGTTGGAACATCTTTTGCCATTTTAATAAAACAGTTCGGTTTTCTTCTCTTGTGCTACGTTAGAGAGTAGGGGGCAAGTCAGGGGTGCTTACCAGTGTGTTTTGTTGGGTTTCTTATCACTAAAAAACCTAACAAATTGGTCTGACCTGCCAAATCAAGAAAAGGAAGAGTCACGGAAGGCAGATTGAATGATCTGGAGGTTTTAGAGAGGACACCAGGGAAACCCTTCAAGAACTCAAAGAAATGGTGGCAGGGCTATTGTTGGAAATCAGGAAACCAGGATAGAAGTACAGAGGACAGTCAAGGTTCGGTTAATGGTGGAAGAATGGGAAAAAGACGCTAGTTTGCGGAGGACAGTGAAGAGCAAAAGGGAGAGATACAGAGGGGCTGGATGAAAAGCGTGGATTTACCTACTTTTGAAGGAGTGGACCCAGAGGGATGGATAGCTAGGGCTGAGAAATTTTTTTGAGGTACAAGAGGTTAGAAACAGAGTACTGGTTTCGTTTCTGGAAAAAGAAAACCAAGAACCCTTCTTGGGAGGATTTAACAGAAGCTTTGGTCAGGTGTTTGGTGTTTGAGAAATTAGCTGCTATTAAAGAAAAGGGGCAGTGAAAGAATACATCCAGGAATTCAAAATGTTAGTATCTCAAGCTATGGAGTTGACCGAAGAACAAATACTTAGATATTTCTTTGCGCGACTGTAGAATGACATTAGGAGCCAAATCAGGCCCCATAATCCCAAGGAACTGTTAAGGGCTATGGACGTAGCCAGGGAAGTGAAGTGACACAAGAATCAGGATGGGAACGAGGAATGTCGAGAAACAACAAATCTATTAGGAGGTATCTAGGAGGATCGAGGGCAATTTTCAAAACAGAATCATATAGAGGAGTCTTGTTAGGATAGAAACAAAGTCCCACATCAGATCAAACAAAAGATGGACATGGGTTTATATACATATAAAATACCTCCATTGGTAATAAGCCTTCTAGAGTGGTACCAAAAACAAATCTGTGAAGGCTTGACCTAGAGTGGACAATATCTTACCAGTGTGAAGATCTATGTGTATGTTGAACCTCCCTAACAATTGGTATTAGAGCTGATAGTTAGTCTTGGTGACCGACTCAGACGAGTTCGTCCCTCCATGGTAAGATGGGTTTGTTTCTCAGAGGGAGTCTGATATGGTATGCAAATTGCATTGATCTCTATATGGCCTCAAGCAATCACCACGTGCTTGGTTTGGAAAGTTTAGCTCCATTGTTTAAAAAGTTGGGCTAAAACGCAATGAAGCAGACCATTTGGTCTTTTACTGTCATTCTTCTCTTGGGAAATGTATTTACTTAATAATATATGTTGATGATATTGTCATTACAAGAAATGATGTTGTTGGAATATCTCAACTGAAGAGTACTTGTGTAAACATTTTCAAACCAAGGATCTTGGAAGTCTTAAATACTTCTTAGGCATTGAAATAGCAGGCATTGAAATAGCACAATCAAAAGATAAAGTTGTAATCTCCCAAAGAAAGTATGGTCTTCATATATTACAAAAAACAGACATGATTGATTGTAGACCGATAGACAGCCCATGGACCCAAACTAGAGATTAAGGACAGAAGAAGGTGAATTATTCTCCGATCCAAAGAGGTATAGGAGGTTGGTTGGAAAACTGATTTATTTCACTATTACAAGGTCAGATCTATCATTTGTAGTTGGAGTGATTAGTCAGTTCATGCAGGCTCCTTGGAGACGGTCTACTACAAGATATTGTGTTTTTTTGGGAGGAAACATTATTTCATGGAAAAGTAAGAAACTAAATGTAGTAACTCGATCAATCACTAAAGTTGAGTATAGGGCAATGACGTCACGAACATGTGAACTTATATGGGTGAAACAATTCTTCAAGAGCTTAACTTCTGTGACATCCATACTATGAAGATGTATTGCGATAATCAAGCTACTCTTCACATTGCATCAAATCCAATGTTTCACGAGAGAACTAAACATATAGAAATTGATTATCATTTTGTTCGTGAAAAATTGTTGACTAAATAAATATGTACTAAGTTTGTTGGATCAAACGATCAACTCGCAGATGTGTTGACCAAGTCATTCAGGGGTCCTTGAATTGAGTTTATTTGTTCCAACCTTTGGTACATATAATTTGTTTGATTAGTTTGTGGAGAAGTGTTAGAATATTTACCCTATTTATCATCATTATATTATATCTAGTATATATATAGTTAGGGTTACCCTATTTATCGTACTTTTGTATCAGAACTTTCTTATAAATAGAATAAGAGTGAGAGGGATCTTTCAAGCCTTCAAGAATTATTTCAGTTTCAACATAAGAAAATTAATTATCCTTTTCTTTCATATTATTTTCAATTTGATTTTCGCTTTTCAATTCTGGTTTTGCAGCATTTGATTGGTTCAAAATTCAAAATCCCGTCCAATCTTGAAAAACATAATCAAATAAGTTGCAACCCAATCTAATGTAGATTTGATCAGTGTTTTCATTATTATAATAGTTTTAAGGAGCCATATATTAAACAATGAAGCAAAAAATAACGATAATCAATATATATTCAAAGTATCAAATATCACATCTCATAAGCAAATTACAACATGCTTTAGAAGCAAAAAAGTATTATAGAAAGCACAGAAACACTAAATCCAAAATAATAAATTTATAAAAACATTAAAAAATACGACATCTTTTAGTTAATATTATAGAGAAAAATAAATTGGCAAAGTAATTTCATAAATATCTTAGCTGTACGGTAATTTCATAAATAAAATCACACACAGTTCTTTCGGACTAAATTGGATTGATTTTCAAATATTGATTGACCCCATTCGAACCAACAAAATTTTTTATTATCTTTTACTTTATATTATTTCCAATTTTTTTGTCTTGTGGCTTTTAAATATAGCTTCTGCAGCATTTAGCTCGGGCATAACAATTGTTTCTTGAAGGATCCACATTTGCTTCTAAACCTTTCCATGACATCGGCAGGTTGTGTTCATGACAACAATTTATTTGCTGTTAAAGGGATACGCTGTTTAATATGCTGAAGATTAGACAGCCTTGTTGCCTTTTTTTACTTATAATATCCTTCATTAGTTGAATTTTACCCAACATTTCCGATAAAACTTATTTCAGGGATAAGGACATATAATAACATCAAAACATCATACCGTTGGAAATGTATATTAATAAAAACATCAAAAAATCATTTTCAAAACTTACCCCCAAGCCCAAAAGTTGACGTGTTGCATCATCCAGAACACCTGGCCTCAAACCATCATACTTTCCAGCAGGAGAATTCTGATAATAACGAGTTGGATTCCGGGAGGAAGAATTCTGATTCCGTCGGGACTTGTGTTGTTTGCGAGCATTATTAACAGCAGTGTTGTCTCGGGGCCTCTGACACTCTCTCAATGAGTGGTTATAAGAACCACAATTGAAACACCGAGCAGGATCATCAATAATCTCTAAACCACTAGAACATTTAAAAAAGTAAAAGCTTACGTCACTATGACAGAAACTAGTAGTACATTTAATTTTGAAATATAAATAGCAGATTCACAATTGAACAGCACATTCAAATAAGCAAATGAACATTTCAGCTTGAATTAATAACCTACCACCAGAACACAACATGCATACAAAACAAATGTTACCTCAAGATGGCAGGTAGGCAAATCCCTATTCCTTCAAGTCTATTTCAATGGATTTATCTCAAATCCAAATCCATGTATTTAGATTTTAAATCCAATTCATTTATTGAATTTCAATTGGATAATTTTTGGAATTATGTAAATCCAAAATCAAGGTGGATCTAGATCAATTCAAGTTATGAAAGCTTAGGTAGAACAAGACCCAAGGTAGGATCAGGTCAGGTCAGGCTCGGCCCAAGTCAAGTTAAAGTAGGCCAGAACCATGTCATGTTGACCAAGCTACACCCATGTTAGGAGTCAAGTAGTAGTAGTCAATCAGGTCAAACCCCCGTCAGGCCAAGTTAAACTAGGTCAAAGTCAAGTTGAGTTGGCTTGAGTCCATATCGGGTTGAGTAAGCTCAGGCCTAGTTTGGGTTGAGTCATTGTGGGTCCACCTATAGCCAAATCAGCACCAGTCAACTTCAGGATAAATTGACTGGGGCCCAGTTTGAATTGAGTTGGCCCTAGCCAAATTCAAGAGAAGTTAGGCCAAATCAAGGTAGGTCCACATCAGGCCAAATTAGGTAAGACCCACATCAGACCGAATTACGTAAGATCCACATCCTAGAATACACCCAACGACCTTTTTCCTCCCAACCCCGTGACTATTTATAACAATCACTTACATGGAAAGAAAAGAAATATCTACAGAAGGTTGTAACTGTCATAATCAGTTATTCTTCTTATCCCTCCTCTTATACACAATTCCAGACCTGTCCTGACCCAACCTATCACATCCCCATAATAGTACTTAGATAAATGAGATGGGAAAAATACAGTGTATTCAACTTACATTCTTAGCCTTTTATTGATGTAGTTGAATATAGTGAAAACTCCCTTGTGTTCAATACACACATAGGGTCCTTTATTTATAATAGAACAAATATGGATTAAGTCCAAAATACAAATAAGAAATAATAACAAACTAACTAATAAAGATAAAAGATAAAGATAATATATCTAACCGATGTATTTATAGGATACAAAGAAGAGGCAAGGCACTTGCTTAAAACCCTAACTCTTAAGTTGGGTTTACAAACAAGAAAATAAAACATCACATTTCAACAATACTATATTTCAAACATTGTATGATCACATGAACTATCTACAAATTTTAAACTAAGTGGACCAATAGATTCATCTTTAAATAATATAAAGCAACAGTACATACCCATCCACATTACTTGAACCATCAGTTGAAGTCAATCCCAAAGTATATCCCCGGTCATATAGAGGCACAGAATGGTCAGCTAAAGGCATGAAATCCTTATTTTTATCATTTCTTGTTTGGTTCTCCATCCAGAATGACTGTTAAAGAAATGGATAAGAATAATATCTTGTATTGCAATAATATTTCCCTTTTCATGTTGAAAGATAAAAAGTACGCCTAGAGAAGTATTAATACGACACTATTATGAGTAAAATTATTGAAAACTACAAAAACATGAGTGGGATAGGGAATCATTAAATTAGAGGGACCCACAAAAACTGATTTGAATAAATTTCAACTAAATTGTTAGTGTGTTTCTAGTAGTTTTCTTGTACATAATAGCTAATACAACATATGCCCATTATTCCTATAATTATAATGACAAAGGGAATAGCTATGACTCAGACAGGTTTCCACAATCACAACCGCAACCATAACCATCCTAGTCTAGTAAACAATGCAGCAGCTAAGGCACATATAGGGAAAAACAACATGAATGACATAATATTACAGATAAAAAGGATGAAGCAAATATAACACTTGAAGAAAAAATGTAAAGGATAAGGCAATTATTAAAAAATCCAGTCAATGCAGACTTCATACTGCAATAACTGTTGTAAGCCTATCTCTATTACTACAACCAACTGCACATGATTGCATTTGAGAACCAAAACTAAAACCTGTAATAGACTATGGAAACTCACCACCGCAGATGTCTTTTCAAGCCCAACATGGAGAGCAGGAAAAAATGTCTCCTCACCAGATTCCAATACTTCGCTTTCATCCTGAACAGAAAGACAATGCCAGATTTATCATTCTTTAGAAAACTATAAAAAAAAAAAAAAAAAAAAAAACTGCATTTGTTAATAGCACAATTCCACCAGTTTCCTTGGTAATAGACCAAATGTGTAAGATTCCTTCTGTTAGGTGGTCATTAGATCACCTATGGTGTCTATACGGCATTTGATACAATATTATTGGAAGTCTCACATAGATTAAAGATAAGATAAATTTAGAGTATATATGAATGAGCCTAACTATTCCCACTTGAGCTTATGCAATCAGGTTATAGTTTAAGATTGATGCTCAACTTTGTAGTGTCATTAAATTCACCATTTACACCTAACTCAAACCTATTTTTAGTTCCCATCAGACATGTGCATTAGTTTGGAGTGCATCTCGTACCAATGACACAGCATTGTAGGGCATGCGCCTAGATCTCTTAACACTTAGTGCTCCACAACATTTTAGGGGCCCTATGTTTATTACGGATGACATTTTAGGGGCCCTATGTACGGCTCATAGGTACAACATATAGCCTTTTCTTAATACAACTACTTCCTAAATATATTTAATGCGTATTCTAACGAGTCTAAAACATTGTTCCACCCCATATGTTGTAATCCATCATCAAAAGATAAAGATTTATTAGGCAAAAATAATTTAAAAAAGGGCTTTTATATCGAAAGACTTCACACATAACGCCTCAAAATACCAAAAATATTGTCTAATTCTCAAATAAACTTCAAAGACTTGGTTTCAAATTAGAAACACCAGAATCTAAATCAACTTCATCATTTTTAAGTGAAAAATTAGTGGACTTGCGTATGGAGATCTTAGACAATCATCAGTCATTATTTGGATTACATCTACACAATGATAATTGGGCAGATAGACTCCAACTTCATTTCACATCCTTAACTTTAAAGTTTTGTTAATCTTTTATTTTTTCTTTTCATGATATTTTATCCTCTATCATCTATTTACTCATTTATTTATCATTAAGGGAAATCTTATTTCACTATGAATAATCAAAATAATAATAATAATGATAATAATAGTAATAGTAATAACAACAACAACAATAATAATAATAATAATAATAATAATGAAGATAATAGGGCTTACATTGGATGACATAGCATGTTTGGCATGCCATTCTGACCATTGTCGTAAAAGTTCCTGAAGCTTCTGTCTACTACCCCTGAACCATTGTTAAAACACCAGTCAAAACTTCAATCAATGAAACCAAACCGCATGATTGGGACATTTTAAGTTTTAATAGCAAAAAATAACAAATAAAACTAGTTTTCACTTTGGGCACACAAATAATGTACCAGAACGGGTGTTCATGATTTTTCTGACCAACTTGTACAAACCTTGTTAGGGAAGTATACGTAAAATGAACTGACGGTTGACGTTCATCAACATTAATCCGGGCCCTTTTAACACCTGATACAGCTATAGCATATCTTATTAAGGAAACACTATATTAGGTATTGCATTACAACTGGATGTAAAACTGATCTATAATATTTATCAGTCAGATATAAACATATCATGTACAATATCTAGAAAGAAAATATATTGTCCAGAACTTATGCACACAAGAAATGTCCAAAATAACAGGGGTATAGCATATCTTGACACTTAGCTCAAAAGCAATTTCTTAAGGGAGTGTAAAACAGTCCAGGGTTTTCCCTTCTGGCTGCTTTATTATGCTTACTAAAACAATTTAGTCCATTTTTTTTCAATCAGGGGAATTACAGCAATTGCCAAAGATATTTCACAAAGGCCATGGTTGTAGACCAATGCTTTTAATTCCAGATAACAGCACATGGGCAACCATACCCAAAAACACTGTAGTGGTATAGCATTATGGCCACTGCTTAGAAATTTTCTAGTTGGCTTAATCTATTGTACAGTATGCTTTACATAAAAAATAAGATAAACTGGACTCAAATTGAGGCCCAACAAACCAAAATGTAGAACAAAAAAAAAGCATATGAAAATGTTTGGGTTGCATGGCTCAATTCCTCGGAAACCATAAATCCCTAAAACCATTTCAGTAGCTAGTTATCTGCACACCCTATTAGAAAATGTATAGGCAGCTTCACATGTGGCAAAGTAGGAGATCAGGGGAGGGGAGGTAAGATAAAAGGTATATCCAGTAACAGCATTGAAACTTGCAAATAAGAGATGCAGTCATAGAGATCGAGAAGAGAGGAGGTCATGATTCATAGGTTACAAGCACAGAATTGAAGATAAGTTCCACTTATCACCCAAAGTCTGAGGGTCAAACCAAGGTTGAGAATGGAAGCCACAGGATATTCCTTTGATGTTTTATTGTTGACCAGCCACATTCTTGGGCCCAAAGGCTACATTGGGCAAAATATTTGTACAACACTAGTCGTTTGCCTCTCATATACTCTGCCCCACCTATTCTTACCCTTCTCTTCTTGGATCAAGGGCTCACTGAGCCCAGTAGAGTTTGGGTTTGTATCAATACCCCCTTCTTGAAATAGAGCCTTGTCCTCAAGGCTAAATTTTGGAAACTAGCTTTGAATTATCACTTCATCCTCCCAAGTAGCTTCATCAACATTTTGCCCCTTCCAATGTACCAGCACTTGTTTCTTAATTTCCCCCATCTTTGTGTTGTTCCAAGAAGCCAAGATCCCCTCAGGAACTAGTAATTCCGCTCTATCATACTCCATCCTAGTAGGGAGATCATCCTTAACCTTATATTTGCCCATGGCTCTCTTTAATAATGACACATGAAAAACAGGATGAATCTATGAATTTGGTGGAAATTTCAGCCGATATGCCACTTTCCCAATTTTCTGCACAATCATAAAAGGACCATAACTCAATTTCGAATTGACCATATTCATGGTCAATTCATGATAGACTGCTTCCTATTCAATTTCAATTTTAATAACACAAGATCACCCACAACAAAGAGTCTTTCCCTTCTATGCTTATTGGCTTGAGTCCTCATCCTGTCCTAAGCACGAAGCAAATGGGATTTTAGTTGTCTTAACACCTCATTCCTCTCCAAAAGATCCTTCTAGACAACTTCAACTCTCACTTCTCCTTGTACCACTTGCACAATCTTGGGGGGAGGTCTCCCATACACATCTTCAAAAGGAGTCATTCCCATAGATCCATGATAAGTTGTGTTAAACCAAAACTCTTCCCAAGGCATCAAGATCACCCATGTCTTGGGTAGGTCAGTGATAAAACACTTTAGAAAAGTCTCCAAACACCTATTGTTACCTTAGTTTGTCCATCCGATTACGGATGATAAGTTGTACTCATTTGCAATTTGGTAGCCTGCATCTTACAGAACTCTTTCCAAAATAAACACATGAACATTGGATCCCTATCACTCGCCAATAGAAGACTGAATGACCACCTTGGGGAGTAGCATGAAATTCTTCCAAGAACTTAGGGATCCAAGCTGATTTTTCCATAACAATAAGGCGATTTTTATTTCGTAACTAGCATGAGCCTGCCCATCCTAGCCAGCCTTCACCTTTTCAATTATCTTCTTCAATTTATCGTTAGCTTGCACATCGGCATTGAGTTCTTGCTAATCTAACCAGACTAAGAAATACACCATATTGTTTACTTCCATCTCTTCTTTGTGGAGACAAAGCATTTGCCCCTGAGTTCTCCTAACCAGGCTTGTAAACGATTTCAAAATTGTATCCTAATAGCTTTGCCAATCAATTATGCTGCTCCCCAATAATTATCTGCATTAATTGTTTCAGACTCTTTCAATATGAGAAAACAATAAATTTTCAACCTAATAGATAAGGTCGCCAGTGTTGTATTGCTAATGTCACTGCCATCAATTCTCTCTCGTAAGCTGATTTAGTCAAATTAAAGGAGCTCAATGCCTTGCTATAATACGTTATTGGGCTTTTCCCTTGCATCAAGATAGCTCCAATCCTTGTTCCCGATGCATGACACTCCAGGAAAAACTCCTCATCAAAGTTTAGGAGTTGCAATACCGGTGCTATGGTGATTCTTCATTTAAGTTCTTCAAAGGCTTCTTGAGTCTTCCCATTCCAACCAAAGCCATCTTTTTTGTTCAAATTCACCGTCATCAAACCTCACCTTAATGCCTCAACAAACACCTTGAGTTTCTAATTTGTGTCCATCTCCCTTTAAAATCCTCATGTCTTGTCCTGTCCCACTTTCAACCCAACGCTTCTACAAGTCTTCCAGAAATAAAGTTATGGGTAGCCCCACTATCTATATCAAGGACAGCATAGGAATCTCCCCAATCATTCCACGCAACTTCATTGTTCTTGGTTGATCCTCATTGTCGCTCGCAATTGTACAGTTAACGTCGTGCATGGAGCTACAACCTCGTATTCAACTTCATTGTTGTCGTTTTCCTCATCTCCCTCGTCACATTCGACTCGGATGGGTAACCCCACTATCTATCAAGAACAGCATAGGAATCTCCCTAATCATTCCATCCAACTTCATTGTTCTTAGTTGGTCATCATTGTCGCCCGCAATTGTACAGAGATTTAACGTCGTGCATGGAGCTAGAACCTCGTATTCCTCTTCACTGTTGTCGTTTTCCTCATCTCCCTCGTCACATTCGACTCGGATTTCCTCGTCAACCATGATGACTCGAAGCTGCTTAACCATTGATGGAGGGGTCCAAACAACCCACTACACTTATAACATAGACCCTTTTGTTTTTTGTCTAAGAGATCCTTATAGGAGGGATGATGGGCTCCTCTATCTTTAGGTCCAGTTTTACTTTTCTCACCCAATCTTTTTTTCCACTTGGGTTTGGTCCATTTCCTCCCCAACTGCCCCCATTCTGTTTTGGGCCAATTTTACCCAACATACTGGTTCCCCTTGAGCATCGTTCTTCTTCAATGGCATTGTTTGCGGCTAGATAAGTATCTGGCAGGTCGGACAAAATGATACAATTTAAAAATGCATAAAAGTGTAAATGAAGACTTGCATGGAACATATTTGATTCTTTTAATATTGCTAAACAAGAAATCATAAGGATACAATTATCCCACTACACATAGCAAAGCTCCTAAGAGAAATCGAAAATGGCTCCCTCTCCACCTAAGCACCCAAATAACTACCTCCCGAAGACCTACCTCCTTGATTCTTTTAAACAACCAATACCCCTTTCTCTCTCTTCTAACCAACCTATTTCATCCTAGTGTGCCACGTCACCATTCCTAGTCCTTTTCCTCTCATATACTCTGCCCCACCTAGTCTTACCCTTCTCTTCTTGGATGAAGGGCTCACTGAGCCCAATAACGTTAAGGTCTGTATCATATACCATGTGAAGTAAAGACAGAAGTTGGACATTAGGACTTAATTGACTAGCATGAAGATTTAAGACAATTAAAATATCATTTGTAGCATACTCAAGAATGAGAGTTCCAACTAATAACTATAGAAGGGAACAACAATTTGATATAGCGATTGTTTCTCAATCATCAGTCACAAACAACAATTTGTTGTTTCAAAAGTTATTGTCAAGCTTGTGTTCCTGTATTATGGTCACTTGCAAGTGTTAGAATGTGTGGGTGAAATATCTTATTGTTTAAAGCTACCCTGAGACATAAAATACACCCTCTAGTTCTTGTCTCTTTGCCTTAAAAAGCTAATGCTAATTGTCATGAGGAATCTAAGCTACCAAAAGGATTTGGAACTTCTATGGTGTTCGCAACATTTGATTAGTGGCAGGGAAGTTAATAAACAGTTTTTTATACAATGGATGGAAAATTTGCAAAGGAAGCAACTCCAGAGGAGGAATTTATCATTAGGAATTTCAAAATTTAGCCTGAGAACAAGGCTGATTTTGAACAATTTCCATTACACTCCCAGATAGGCTGGAGAAAACACGGAATAAATTTGGGCAAACAATTAGCTTATGGGCCTTGGGGTTGGAAATTACAGAGAAAAAAGAATAGGAAGGGAATCTGGGGGAATGTTGAGCTGGCACAGAAAAAAAAAGGATAAAGTTTAGTTAGAATTGGTGCTAAGGGGCCAATATAGGAGAGAAGGGTAGAGGATAAGGAGAACCAAGTTCTTTACGGGAGAGAGAATGTATCTTCTCTGTAAGAGTCTTGCTATGGGCCTTGGGGTTGGAAAGTACAGAGAAAAAAGAATAGGAAGGGAATCTGGGGGAATGTTGAGCTGGCAAAAGAAAAAAAAAGGATAAAGTTTAGTTAGAATTGGTGCTAAGGGGCCAATATAGGAGAGAAGGGTAGAGGATAAGGAGAACCAAGTTCTTTACGGGAGAGAGAATGTATCTTCTCTGTAAGAGTCTTGCTATGGGACAATAGTGTACTTGCAGTATATTTTCCTGCATCTTCCAATAACAATTTCATATTTTCCTTTCATTCTATCATGATATATTTTCATTTCTCACTGAATTTTGGGTTTGTAACAGTAGTCAAGCAGCAAACCAGAAAAACCTGAAAAGGGGAAAATAATTAGAAACAAGCATTGAATACAGAATTTAATACAAGGATACATGTTCCAACAATCTCAGTGCTTCTCTTGGGACTCCCATCTTCAAGAGAGAGACAACCATTTTCAGCAAGCACTCCTCCCCTCACTTCCTCAGTGACCACATTCAACTTCAAACCATCTTCCAATTTCTTCTCCTTATCAAGTGAATCCCTCAGCTCTAGCTCCTCGTTCATGTGCTCGTCACCACCCATATCCAAACAAACCCTTTTCTCTGCTATGGCAAAAAAGATTAAAACTTCATACAAACATTGCACTAAATAATCAACCACCAATCAATCTCTAAATAGCAAATACTAGTTGTAAGTATAAGATTCCTTTATGTACCCACCTAATTTTCAGATTAAAATTCATTAGATATAACATAACAATTAATATGATAAAAATCTCTAGTGGACCTGTTTGCAAATTTAATTATCTATAGTACATCAATTAAAAATAATAGAGATTGCAAGTTTTGTAGACATTTACGTAACATACATCAGTTTAAATCTGCAAAAAAAACTACATATTAATCATATCCCCATAGGACCTAATATTCTTTTCTAAATTACTGATGCAAGATTACAACTTGATGGAAAATTATTCTCAGGTACTGCACTCATGAATTGGGAATGTCCAATTTAAGCATATACACAAACTGCAGAACTATGGTTTTCGTGGTGTACAAACTTCGTATGGACATTACTCGTTCCATAAAATCAAATATCAAAATCTTCATACAAGCCCAAAGGAAACATCTTACACACAGTACCGCAAATTATAAAGGGACTCGAAAAACAGAAAAAGAGAAATCATGGACACAAAGCAAGGAAAACGAAAAGGCATGTTAACATACCAAACAGGTCGATTTGAGGCGGGCAAGGGCGGCGATGAACCGACAGTGAGGATGACAAGGCCACGAGGTGTACAAGATTATATGACCGTCGGGGGAGGGGAAAGAGGCTGTCAGCGGAGGGCCGCGAGGACGATGCCGAGGGCAATCGATAAGGAGTTTGGAGATGGTTCGACCACGGTTTGGAGAGGATGAAAGTGAGAGCGTTTGAGGCAAGACGTCGCCGTTTGGAGAAAGATGCGGTAAGGGTTTAGGGCAAAAAGTGAGAGGGTTTAGGACTTGTGAGAATGAATTCACGGCGGGAAGAGGTCACGAAAAATATCCGACTAATTGCCAAATTTCTACTGGTGGCTAGCTTTGAGTAGTAAGAGTAGAAGAAAATGCAAAGGGAAATTGAGAATTTAGGAGAGAAGAAAAAATAAGGTACCCTGAGGGATTAGGGCGAACCACGACGCCCTAATTGCAGAAGACAGAAATGGTATCCTTGGAAGTACAGTCGAATTTGCGGGTGGAATCCAAAACACTTCACCTAGTAATTTTCGCATTTGTCACAGAAAAATATCATTCGCAAATAGAGGAATTAAAGTAAATAAAAATAAAAATTAACATGGGAGATTTCTTTTAAAAAATCTTTTTTATCAATTACAGGTACGTATTTTCAATATATTATAAAATATATTTAAAATACTTATAGATAATATTATGAATAATAACTTATTATATCATTTTATTATATTTTTAAATATTATAATATAATCATTCATTATCAAATATATTCAAGATATTATAATATAATATATGATTATATAGTATATTTAATATATACTACTTGATTGTCTTTAAATAGTAGAATCTAATGAATATATTTGTTTACTAATATAATACAAAATCTATAAATAAATTTGTTTGAATTCATCGATGAAAAAAAATTATATTAATTAGGTTTATATATAAATATGGATAATATCTAATTTTTATAATTAAGTATGAAAATGAGAATAAGTATGTATATATTTATCGTATCTCTAATATCACATTCATCCTAATATTTATATTGTTCCTTTTAAATTATTGAAGCATCACAGTTTATTAGATAACCATATATTATTTTTTAGTTTTATAATCTTTCTTTTATGTGTGCTATAGACTTATTTTCTATCTCTTTTAATTGTTTAACTTATTTTATATTGATAAAATCCATTCACTTCTCTATTTTTCTTCTTATCATAACCTTTGTTAATTAGGTTTAAATGGAATATTATCAATTACATTGAATTAAATAGTTTTGATATTTTTTATTTGAATATTTTACTTTTTCTAATATTTGTATTTGTTTATTTTCACAAAAAACATATTTCAATTTCAATTTTAACTAGTTAAAAGCACAAACCCTTCGTTTAGTAGATAATATAAAAAATTTATTTTTTTATTATCTTGAATTTTACTTTTTGTTTCATTTAAAAGAACTTTGATTTTGCTAAAACAATTTTCATCATTTTTCTCTATGAATCGACTAGTTTGATGTATAAAGATATTTAAGGTACTTATCATTTTATTATATCTTTAAGGGTTAAATATGTTTTTAGTCCCTAAACTATTGGTCGTTTCGGGTTTTCGTCCCTCTTTCAAGTAAGGTACAGTTTGGTCCTCATTCTTTTCGAAACTTTCGTTTTAGTCCTCGAAAATTAAACAGTGTTTAAAAATTTGGTCCTCATTTAGGACTAAAACCAAAATTATGAGGACTAAAACGAACGTTTCAAAAAGAATGAGGACCAAATTGTATCTTACTTCTTTGAAAGGGACGAAAACCAGAAGCGACCAATAGTTTAGGGACTAAAAACATATTTAACCCTATCTTTAACTATACATTTTTAACTATACATTTGTTTTCCTTTTTGTTGAATGGTATATTAATTTTTTTGTAAGACATATTTGATATTTTTTATATTTTTATTTGTTATTTATTTTTATTATGTAGAATATTGTTTTAATGATTCTTTTATATTTTTATTTTTTAACTCATTATCATAAATTTTATTTATTATTATATAATAATTTAATGTTATTCTCATGAATTTTGTTTATCACCACCACATGTAGAATAAAGTTCAAAAGATGAAAGGTTTAGGCTAAATTTCAATTAGGTTTAGGCTAAATTTCAATAATTAGTTTACTCTTTTATTTCATTAGAGTGTATTATACTTTTTATTAATATATATAAAATATTTCATTAAAATTTAGAGAAAGGAAGTAAATAGACAAAAAAAAAAATTAAACTTTGATACTTGTTCTTGTATTTTGTTTCTAAAAATACTTTTAATTTTATCAAATTTATTTCATTAACATTTGCAAAATTATTAAGTATTTTGGTTATCATTAAATTATATTTGGTAATCTAATTTGAAATGTATACAGTTATAATTATAATTTCTTTCTAAATATTTTATATTAAAAAAATAGTAATACATCACTTTGTACTGAATATTTGATAAAATCATGTTTTTTTTGTCATGATTTTTTTTTTATTTTTATATAAAGTAATTAATTGATATTAAAATGGTAAGAAAATGGGTGTGGACATGGGTACAAGTATGACCAATTATTCAGTTGGGTTGGGATGAAATAAAAGTGTTATACTCGTTGGATGTGGGCATAAAATCTTCTCTTTCAAATAATCATTTTGCTACTCATAACCACTTTGTTGTCTCATATGTTGCTTTATCCAAAGTCTTTGAAATTCTTAATGAATGTAAAGTTAGAGATCACTCAAAATTAAGTTGTAGAAAAACATCAAACAATAATATACAAAATGGGTTTGAGATGTTTAAAAAGTAAATAATCAACAACACATTGGTTGGACATGATAGACAAGATAAACAACAAGAAAAAGGCTCGCACATTCAATGAAAAATGCTATGAATGTGAGTAGTGTGATCCTACAATGTTAAGACAAGATCATCTAATCAAAGTACCTGAAAAACACTAGAAGGGGGTTTTGAATAATGATAATTAAAAACCTTTTTCGCAACCTTCCTTCTATAGCACTTTTGTCGAGTACAAGATTTTTCAAGTAATTGTTAAACGCTCGACCTTGTAAATGATTTTAAACAATGAATTTTTTCCACGTGTTATATAGGATATTCACTATAGTGTTTGTAAGAACTTCCTTTTTAATGAATAATCGTTTAGTATGAGAAGCTCTTATATTTAAAACTAAAACACAATGGCTTAGATATCCTACACTACTCTTCAATTCAAGCTCCATGATGACTCCAAAGGTGGACCACAAGGTAGAGTTGATTTCATCTTTATGGATTTACCATAACTACGTTGGCAAGCCATGTGGTGTAGGTTACCTCCCAAAATGAACCTGGCTTCCAACAACTTCTTCACATCTGCATACACCGCTTTTCTCTTCTCTTCCCCTATTTTTCTCTTCTTTTGTGCCACTAGACGTGTTTCTTTGAAGAGGCTAGCTTATGGGACATCATGCTCAAGTGGATGCCTAACATGTTTTTTGTTGTCTATGCAAATAAGTCGACGTTGGTTCTAAGCACTTCTGTCAAGCCCTCCCCCTAAGGTTCCATCTGGTCGTTTGTGTTGGTCCGTAGGTATAGGTTAGTCATAGCTACTTCTGAATGCTTGATCCTTTAAGAGGGGACAAATAGTTTTACCTTCAGACCCTCCATGTAACATTCTCGGGCCATCTTCTGATCCGTCCATACGATATATATAGTCATTCGATCAGAGGGGAACTTCATTGCTAAATGCGGTGTGGACACTATTGCTCTAAATGCATTTAGGCATAATCACTCGATCAACACACTATAAGAAGTGTTGGTCTCAACCCATAGGTATCTCACCCTTAACTCCTTAGCATCCCGACCTGCCCCGAGGCAAGTTCTCAAGTCCACGTAACCCCTCGTGTCCACCCGCTCGTCCGCAAACCCTACGATCTGCTCGCTAAAGGGAACTATCAGGTTCTCCGATAGGTCCATTATCTGTAACGTCTTTCAGTGGAGGATGTTCATGGAACTTCCTTAGTCAATGAACACTTTGCTGACATTGAACTGAGTAATTTCAACGGTGATCACCGTAGGATCATCCTTATCAGGGTCAAGTGCATGGAAGTCCTCGTTCGAGAAAGTGATGGGTGACATAAATCCTGGTTTTTCTTCCATAAGATGGAAAGTCTTCAAGCCCCTAAGATGCCTTTTGCGCGCGGAGGAGTTCCCGCGAAAGCTCCCGAAATCGTATTTATGTGGCCACGCAACGGTCGGACACGACTTTGGCTACAAATTCTACTCCGGCGGCTACTATTATAACGTCGGTCGTCCCTATGAGAAGAACATTTAAGGCTTCTTTTTCACGGTGGGCTTCGTTCTACGCGTTTCGCCTTCACATACTTTTGTAGGTGTCATGCTCATATTAGCTCTTCGATCTTGTCACGTAGGGCGAAACACTTTTGTGGTGTGCCTAAGATTCCGATGGTATCAATAATGTTTATTTCCGTCAGTGTTCCTTGCGGTCAGTTTTTTCTTGATCGGGGGAAGGAGGTATGCACTAAGCGTTTCCTCCAAGATCCTCACCCTGGGTGGGGAGTATACTGGTTGAACATGGGTGGGCGGGGGAGGTCTTTAGGTATAGACTCGCCCCCTCTTTCACCTGCCCCGACCGACTTCTTTCCTTACTTTCGCTCCCTACCGATGGACGATGTTGTAGCCTCCTCCTACTGCTTTTTTGCAAAACATGCAAATTTTCTCTATGTGTACAAACTCATCTGCTCTCTCTTGAAACTCGTCCATGGTCCTCAAAGGCGGGGTGCATAAGCTTTCCGCGAACAACATTGCCTTCAAGGCAGTTGACAAGTTGTTGAGGATGAACTCTTAACTAACATCCCTTACCTACCGAGTGATCATATTATATCGTTCCATATAGTCTTTTAATGATAATCCTTCCTATGTTTAATATTGATCAACGCAAGGTGTGTCAGACTCTAGATGCGATTGAAAGGGCACTACTTGCCGAAAAGGGATCGGACAGTAGAGAAATACTCCACTTTGTTCGGGGGCAGAGTGTTGTACCACGCTAGCACCTCTCCTTTAGCGATAGAGAAAATGCTCGACACCGTACTAGATCACTTAATGAGTAGAATGCCATTGTGTTCACAAACGAGTGAATATGCTCGTTCTAGTCAGTAAACTTGTCATATTTCTCGAATGCCGGTGGTGTAGACTTCTCGGACATCAGTGCTTCCATGACGATCGTGGTAAAGGGTAACAGGCCCTTGGCCTGTATCGTTTGAACTAAGGGGGTTGTTTTAGTCATTGTACTATTCACTTCCTGCCCGATCTTACTAATCTCTTGACCGATCTTGCTTACCTCCTGACCGATCCTGCTTACAATATTAATTTCACAATAAATACAATCACTTACCTTACCCATGTATTTATATTAAGGTTGATCCAATAGCCTATAAGTATGTTTAACTTTGTTAACTATGTTCGGTTTATGCTGATTGTTTTGATATGTAATATCGAATGATCATTTATGGAAATGACAACCAATCGATCATGTGAAAAATTAGTTTATTGGACGACTATACAATACACATTGCTAGTTGCATCCTATTCATTGTGAACAGAAAAATTATTAATTTACGTAATGATTTTGGAATTGTTTAGCTCTCAGGTTTCTCTAAATACTGCACCTCAAACAACCAAACAAGAGTTCCATCAACATAATCCCACATTACCTTTCAATTTATTCTATTACATAACTCCAAGAATAACAGAAGGCACATAGTCATTCTTCTCACTGTCCATATTTAATTACACAACTAAACCAAAAAAGTAAAAAAAAAAAAACAGAGCAAAACCGAAATCAAACTAAAGAGATATAGAATGAAAAAAGAGAGGTTATGCATAACAAAATTCAAGAAGTCACAATAAAACTGGAACAACAAAAAGGTACAAATTGACTCAAATTGCAAACAGGGTCTCAAACCTCTACTAAAATTGCACCGTTGTCACAATTCTTAATCATAAACCAAGTTCTAAATAGGATTTGCGATATTAGTCTTGATAATGGGTGTCTAAACGAAGGTTTGAAATGGTTCCAATTTTACATCTACACCTTCAAAATGTGCAGTTAGCATAAGACCAAGAAGATTATTCTTTGTTCGATAGCAAAGTTGGGTACCCAAATTAGGATCATCCCCGACAGGTTTCATGGCAACCTGGTTCTTCACTTCAACCACCACACGATCATAAAATTGTGTCGGTAATATAGTTGGAGGTGTTCCAGAATCAAGAAACCTTACTCGCTCTACCAAAACTCATTTTGCTAGAAACACTTACATCAGTGTGGAAAGGGGATTTCAAATTTTTAGGATATTTGGGTTGGTGATTGGGATTCGAAACCCACCAAGAAAAAAAAGAACAGAATTGAGGAAAGGTTTAGTGAAGTGGTGAAAGGTGATGATTGGTTGGAGGGAACACGTGGAAATATGATTATAAAACACATCATCCATTAAATTTAATACATAATGACACATTTTCTTTTCAAATACATAACGACAACTTAACGGACAAGGTTAGATTGATTCAATTTTTCAAATATTTGGACCCAATTGAGACATTTTACAAGAATATGAACCTAATTTTGATAGTTGAAAAAACGAAGACCCACTTGAGATTCTCCAACAAATACGAGAAGGACGATATGAAGGTTTAAACCAATAATCATATTTTTCTTATTTATTTTTGTACTTAATATTTATTTTTAAATTGACGTAGACTTTATTAATATGTTCGTATTAAGAAAATCGAATGGAAATTTACACTTTGTTCACTTTAATAAATTTGGAGGAGAGTGATTGAATAAATTTAAATTTGATTGAATTTTGAATATAAGGAAAAGTGAATTTGAAACTAAATTTTTTTAATTTGTGACGTGAATAATTTAATACATTTAAGTGAATAAAATATTTGTGTTTTTCTTTTGAAGATTTGGTAACAGAAAGGGTAGGCCAAGGCAAAAGTCAGAATTGGTCGGTCGTACACAATTTGAGACGAAGAGGGTTGGAGAATAGCATGGCGTTGCAAGCAGGCGTGAACACCTCCAAGGTTCTCATTCTGGTTGGAGCCGGTAAGGGAGTGTTTGGGTTTATTATCAACTCCTTTATCAATTAACTTGTTTTGCTTTTGCTTCTTCGTTAGGTTTGAGTGGTTCTGTTTTGCTGAGGAGTGGCCAGTTATCTGGTCTCATCGCACAGCTTCAGGAGTTACTCAAGGGCGTCGACGATGCTGAGATTTTACCCGGCAGATACGACGCTGCGCTTATTGCTGCACAGGTGCGTATTTGTCATGTCATGATACTCGTAATTCTTTTCTGTTTCTATGCCACACACCTTATTGAATTGTTTGTTTAACCGTGTATTTTAAGCTCAGATTCGACAGCTAGCACATGAGATTAGGGAGTTGACGTTGTCTCGCCCTGTGATCTTCAATGCGAATTCTTCTTCTTCTTCTGGTACTTACACTGGATTCTGTTGCAAATTTTTTTATTTTCTTTCTTCAGTGGTGATATTAAACATCAGAGGATATAATAATTTACATTTTAGACCTCGATGAATCTACGATAGAATGCTACTGAGTAACGTTTTATGTAAACATGTTTCCTGATCGGCTTCGTGATTATGATGCTAAGTTGACCAACCAATGCTCATTTTCTTTATAGATTTTCTTCTCACTTTACATTGTATAAGAATTATTAAGGATAATTGTCTTAGGCTTAATGAAGTTACTAATATAGACTTAGGCCTTAATTAGATACAATTCAAGTGTTTAATAGAAAATGAAAATAAGATTGTAAACTTAATTCATCTTCTGCTATAAGTAAACAAAAGTGTATGCTTAAGGTAAATAGCTTTTGGACTTTAAATTAGTTTTTAAACTTATGGGAGAAGCTTAATTTATTTTTCCTTCTTATTTTTACAAGTGCTTATTGAAGAGTTTACCTAAATAGGGCCTTAACCTTTTAAAATCTATTTCTTTTAACCCTTTTTCAAGGAAACTGCTAACTTTAAGTTATAAAATGCATGCTTTTGGGGTTTTCCAAGATAGCTTCACTCAACCAAATGCAAATTTACCAGTTAAGTCTATCTACTTATTTCTTAAAGAATTATCAATCATCCCTTATGCAGTACTTATTAATTCAAATTTCCTTGTTTGCTAACAGTTGATGTTAACATGTTTACACCATATTTATCATTCCTTGGTAGTGGCGCATGGCTGACCCAAATAATGCTACAACAGTATAGCACTCAGTGAGATGACTTCTATTTTGATTTTTTTTTTTCATACTATATACGTATAAACACTCAACAAAAATGCTAAAAAATATTTACATGTTCATAATCATGACTAAAATGTTATACAAGTAAATAGTAACTTATTGAGAAGGATACAAGGACAAATCATAGAGACAAAGAAAAATGGAGTGAATGAGTTTGGGTCTTTGGCGAGATAGATAACCATAGAAAGACCTCGGTGATTGATATTCATTTCCTTTGTTACATATTGATGTGGTTTTGGACATTCTCAATCTTCTGCCCTTGTGCAAGCAATTTGTGTAATCATGATTTTACTATCACGTATTTTTTTTCCTTTCTTTATAAATACAAGTTCTTGTTCACTATATATGTTGATGTTAATGTTTGAACATAGGGGGTATTGGCTCTTACTTACTACCTGCTGCTGCAATAGGAGCTATGGGATATTGTTATATGTGGTGGAGGGTAAGTGATAATCGTATCACATTTCCATAACAGGTACATTTATTTAGGAATCAACATATAATGTGATGATGTTGACTAAACCCATATATTTCTTGCCGCTTGTAGGGATGGTCATTTTCTGATGTAATGTTTGTGACAAAGAGGAATATGGTTAATGCTGTAGCAATTGTGTCAAAACAATTAGAAAATGTACATGAAACATTGGCAGTAAGTAATTTGTGTTGGCATTCCTATTTTCCTACATGAACATTTTTCATCTTTTGAGTGTTGTCGATGAATTTTTGTTATTTAATTTGCGCAGTCAACAAAACGGCATCTTACAAAGAGGTTGGAAGGTCTTGACTTGAAGTTGGAAGAGCATAATGAGTTGGGTCAACTTATATCAAATGATGTAAGGGAAAATGGATTTTCTTTTTTCCTAGATAATTAAAGGTGTTAAGGTAATTCATTAAAGAAATGTTTAATCAAAAGAAATTCCTAGCTCAATAAAATAGGATCAAATGACCACTCTTGATTTGTCTTCTTGTGTGCATCAAGCATTAAGACTAAATGCTTCAGTTAAAGAAAATCATGAATAGTTATGACTGATTCAATATGTTTGTTTTGGTGTATAAATATAAGAAACATAGGCCATACAACTTACATCTGAATCTGTGCATAATCTGCATTTGTATATGCCTCAAGACTAGCATTCTTGTATGGTTTGAACAAAATTCATCTTCCTAGCTTCCCTTTCAAATACTGGACAATTCCAAGAGCAACTTGTAAATGTGTTTGCGTTTCCTTTGGGTGGTGAATAAATTGACCGACTAGGCTAACAACTAAAGCAATATTTGGCTTAGTGTGAGATAGATAAATAAGTCTTTCAGCTAGTCTTTGGTACTTCTTTTTATCCATAACAATATATCCTTTGCACATCCCAACTTTATATTTGGATCAACATGTGTACTGTTGGTTTGCATTGCAAGTCAATAATATATTTTTGTTGAGATATGTAGATCCCTTTTTTGAAATGGGTTACTTCAATTCTGAGAAAATATTTTAGGTTTCCTAAATTCTTGGACAAGACATTGACTCAACCTTTGTTGTTCCCTTTCGTCATTCTCAGTAAAAATATAATAATCGGCATAGATCAATAATACTATTTGTAACACCTCAATTTTTTTGCTTACTAAAATCTATAATTAACACGAATTACACAACTTAAAATAAAACTTAACTCCTATTTTATTGAAAATCTCAGTAAACAAAAAACAATATTGTTTTACAACCATAAGCTTTATTGACTAAAAGACTGTCCCAAACATCTGTCGATATTGACCACTCTCCCTAGTGTTGTGCATCTTCCTCAACACCTGTAAGATCATCAGACTCAAAATATTACATCTCATACAAACAAAAAGGCAAGAAAAGAAAACAAGAAAAACAAGAATAAATGAATGTAAGCTCCCCTTACCTCTTACTCGTCACTTCTCCTTTAAACATGCCCTAGATATTCTTAAAAGATTTTAGGTGATCCTTCTAATATCCATAAAATATTATATATATTTTCCTACCTATATGTTTTTGTTTCTTAGAAAATCTCTTTAAATCTCTTGTAAATAATGAAAATTGCACACATAATAAATCTTATATCTTTTTCATAAATCTATTTAAGAAATAACCATCATATATAACTTGTTTATATTATAATAAATGCTTTATATATCGTTCATACAGAGTCAAATGTGTATCTTGCAAAGACTTCCAAAGACTCTTCAAACACTTCCAACCTTCAATCTCTAAGGTATTCGTCCTCCTTTAGAAAACATTCTGATGCTCAAGTCATCCTAATGCGTCAACAAACAATAAATGCAGTAAATAATGAACGTAATTAATATACCTTGTAAGATATTCTATTTATACTACTGTTTATGGCTTTTAATTGGATGGGCCTTGACCCATTTTCCCAAATACATGTTAGAATTGAATTATCGCAGTCAACCATGGGTCATTGCGATTAAGTGTCTTGAATGATGTTATTTTGGCCGAATAGGGATGGGTTGAGTACATGTTGATTTAGTAGTTCAACATGTATTCGGTCAACCGGTCCTATACGGATCTTTTTACATGCTCAATGTAAAAGGCATACAAAGAACTTCGACATATCAGGTGGTCTTTAGTCTCTGGCTTGTTGATCATAATGTTGGTACTCGGTAGGCATCTTGCAAAGAAAAATTGTATCTTTGGCTATTTAACCTTATAGGTATAGTAGCCCCCGGCCTTGAGAAGCTTAGCGATGAAGAGCTTGTGATGATGAAGTATTAGATAAGATATGATGTTGTAAGGGGGATGAAGAGGCATGATATGCCTGTTTTACACAAGAAATGATGCAATGCTTAGAAGGGACAGAGTCACCAACCTTGGCCTTCAGATCTAAAGAGATCTAATGGTTAAGGGAGAGCAGTGGGAAGGTGAAAGGTCACAAGTTTTCATATAAATAGGGTCTCATTTTCCACATTTGAGCACCAAGTTCTGAAAAATTACTCTGTTGCTGATATCTCGTGAAGAGAGTGAATCATTTCAAGAGCTGACTACTCAAAGGATTATGGGGAGGAATCAAATTGTAGTAGTAGTAGTAGTTAGTGTCACTGGACGCATCATCATCCATAACCATAGGGGTGGAGCTGGAGGTTATTATTGAGAATAGGGAAGATCCTGCTGAAGAGCATGCCAAGTCCCAACTACCTAGAAAGGAGGGGTACAAGTGGATAGATCTCTTAGTGAGAAGTTAGTTTTCCAAATTTAGGTGGTCAAGAATATTGAATTCTTGGTTGAATAGCATTTATGTGTTTGAGAGTGGAGTGTCGAAGGACATAGTGTCGCTTAGGAGGGTGACTGCCGTTGACAATGTTTGTCATGGTCGATAAGGGTATGAGGAGGAGTTCTTTTATGTGTACATAACGTTTTCCTTCAACTTCACGTCTGGTTACCCTTCGATGAGTTTACAATGGGTATGCTCAGACTTCTAAATGTTGCACCAACACAACTTCATCCAAATAGTTGAGGTTGCCTTAAAGCCTTTAGATTAGTATGATAGGTTCTTTGTTTATCCCCTTCGCCTGAATACTTTCTTCATTTTTACCTAATGCGATCAAGGGATCCACTTACCTGGCTATCTTTGGTGAGCAGGCTCAGTACACGTTTGCTAGGTACCTTTCCCCAATCTTTTAAGAAGTTCAAGAATGGGTTCTTTAGGGTAGTGGTGAACCCAGCTAACCGCTCACATTTTTATGATGAAAACGACAATCCAAAATTTCCCTTTTATTGGACTGATAATCCGCTTAGGTATAAGGAGTAGTTGAAAGACATATTGTTTAAGGATGATCGGAGGATAGTTGGGATACTAGAGCAGCTCCCTCGGAAGCTACGGACCTTGTTCAATGTATTATCTCAAAATTGTTGAATCCTAAAACATTTGGCCACAAAGATTTAAGCTGATTAGCATACTCATAATACTTTTAGTACCTTGTTTCGCTGCCATTCTTTTTACTTTCACATCATAAATATGTGCAACATCCTTTGCCTTAGAGTAGGTTTGCTCTATTGAACTCTGTATTGCTTTTGGTGAATTGAGAAACATACATGTATCACTAGTTTCTGGAACCATTGAGTTCCATAACCATGCCATGATTATGGAGTCTTCATCCCATGACTTGAATTTGACATCATCTTCTGTAGGGGAATCATTAGTTAGATGGCTAAGCTTTTCTTTCCATTTCAGGATGGTCTTAATAAGTTAAGACCATTTGAGATAATTTTTTCCTTTCAACTGATAGATTGTATGAACATTGTTAGAATAATTACTGTTACATATCACCATTTAGGCTAGTCTGCTAGACCAATAATGATTAGTACCTAGTTCTGTACCTAGAGGTCTAGTGCAAACTCTTGGTGTTCCATGTACTCTTGTGTTTTCCTTATATATAGAAGATAATGAGAGGGATATGTTAAGCCCTCAAGAATATATTTTATCAGTTTTAATCTTAAGTAACATTATGCAATTCTCTTGCATTCTAGAACTTGTCTTCATTTTCTATTTTAGCTATTACTATTACGTGCAATTAAGACACATAGAAGTAAATTGATCAAATGTAGAAATAGAAGGGAAACACAACGATGGAGGCTGTGATGAGAGTTTGAGATCATACAGCAATGGAATCTGTTGCGATTAGATTTACACAACAATGAAGGCTGTGATTAGGTCACATGATCATAGGTTACCAAGGATTAGGAGTATTGATACCATCTCAAGTTTAGAAGAAGTAATTTCTTTCTTATTATATCTCCTTACATACATCCTATATATATATATGTGTACATACATTTGTTGGATATTTTTGGAAATAAGAATGACCTATTCTAAGAAACAAATCCCTGAGTTTGTAGATTGTTGTGCTATTAATAAAAGCAAGATACAACAAATATACGGAATTAAAGTATATAAGGAATAATATCTAAAACTTCCTAAAATATATTCTGACATGTGGAGAGTCCGGTTCTGTAAGAAACCAGTGGATAAGAGTTGAAAATAAGACTTATTTTATTATTCTCAAATCATAAAAAATACATTCTCATACCCTCTATTTGTAATAATCTAGTTCTCCTAAAAAGGGAAATAGGAAAACTAGGAAAAATAAAATAAAATAAAATAAAAGATTATGTATCTATTTCCTCTAATCAGGAAGATTCTAAAGATATTATCTCAAATTACAACACTCCCCTCAAGTTGGTAAATGAATATCAATCATTCCCAACTTTCCTACAAGATCTTGAAATCTACCCGTAGGAACATGAGTTGTAATCACAAAGCCTTTGTCAAGATTATCTTTGATGAATTGTCTGTCAATTTCAATGTGTTTGGTTCTGTCATGCTGTACTGGATTATGGGCTATGCTCATAGCAGACTTATTGTCATAGTGTAGTTGCACCTGTTTCTCCACTTTTACTTTAAGATCATCCAAAATGATTTTCATCCAGAGTCCTTCACACATTCCTTGAGCAAGGGCTCGAAATAGAACCTGCATAGTCAGCATCAGTATATATCTTCGTAGGCAAGGTGTCTTTTCTTTTGAATAATAGCCCCTTTCCTGGACTTGACTTCAAGTATTGGAGAATTTTGTCAACTGCTTGCATGTGTCTCTCTCTTGGATCATACATAAATTGTCTCACTACACTAACTACATAAGCAATGTCTGGTCTTGTGTGTGATGGATAAATCAATTTCCCCACCAATCTCTGATATTGGGCCTTCTCTACAGGAGCACTTTCATTAATTCCAATTCTGTGATTCTGTTCTATAGGAACTGTTGAGGTTCTACATCCTAGCTTTCCTGTTTCTTTGAGGAGATC